GATGGATGGATGGATGGATGGATGGATGGATGGATGGATGGATGGATGGATGGATGTACAGTATGTATGTATTGTACATATTTTGCAGTTTAGTACTTTGGTCAACTGGTTATTTGAAAGTGAGTTGTACAAAAAATTAAATTTGATTTGTTCCTTACCTCATTCTGCAGTTCATTGTCACTTTTGTTTGAGGCCAGCATCTCAAACAAGGAGGAGCACAGTTCCTCTGGATTAGATGAAATAATGTTGCCTCCCAGCAGGTATTTCTCCACTTCTATTTGAAGGATTGATCCATCATCTGGCCCTAAAGACCTGCCAGGGCTGGGAGCATTTTCAGTGGCGGCATTCTTCCCACTCTGCTGGTTGTTGAGAAAGCAGAGAAAGTCTATCCTGGAGTTCTCATCATGGGTACCAGAGAAAGGCATGCTTTCCAGTGGTTCCAGGGTGTAACAATCATATGAAAAAACAATGTTGCGTCCAAATGCAGAACATTGCTGTGGGTTGTGACGAGAACTCTGTGTCTTGATGAAGTTTTCCACTCTGGAGTCTCCAAGTGGAGCCACCAGCCGGGCCACACAGGAACAGGAACTTTCAGCTGCAGATGATGGAAAAGGGCCAAACATCTGTTTAATGGCTCGGGTCTCCTCTGCACCCACATGGTCTTTATTGTAGAAGGTCTCAAACAGAAAAGCAGCTGCACTTTCAACGGCTTCCTGGCCATGTTCAGTACCAACTGTTGAAAAAAAAACAGTGGTTGACTACAGTGGTTACAGCAATGCATGTGAAGAAAAGCAGGATTATTTACAACAGGACAGTTCCGCTCATCTGCTAACCTGGGACGCACCGATCCAGATTTTTTCACTTTCGATTCTATCACAGAATATTTGATATCAGCCGATAGATAATATTCCAATATCAAAGCTCTGTTTTATTATTATTATTATTATTAATGTCATCATCATAATCATCACTATTATTTGTTGCTGATTTTATGCAAATCAGAATACAAATATAAACAGTAATATTCCTAAATATGCAAATTTAGCAAACCCTCATGAAAATTAGGAGAGTCTGTTGGTTTGGGTTTGTATTGTCTGAGTTTCACTGAATTTTCCCCTAATTTTGACTGATATTTATTTATTTAAACTCCTTGGTTGTGTTTTTAATAAAAAAATATCTTTACATCTTAATTTTTGTTCAAAGAATAGCTTGCTATATTTTCTAACAACTTGTAACAGTTTTATTTGTAAAACTGCACTTCTCCTAAACCACCTGTTAGATGTGTGAAAAATGGTCTCCAGTGGATTTCAGGGAAAGACCACACTATTTAGCTGAAAGCTGAATTAATGAAATGCACACTAATGTTTTTTTCTTGTCTTAATATTATTCTGTTTCAGAAATGTTATTCACATCTTGTAAAAACTGGACTAGAGTTCAAAGAGAACTGCTAGCCTTTACATTTTTTCCACCTCGTCTTTTGTCAAAGTTACAAAGAGCTGCTGCAGACAAAGCAAAAAGTTAAATGTGGTCCGAGAACCACAGATCGCAAACCCCTGCTCTAATTAATTATTAGTCAGTTAAATAAATAAAACAAAAAAAAAAACTCTAATGGTCCCAGTGCCAAGCTAATTTTGGTTACAGTGACTTATTTGTGCTGCCTAATGGTAAAGTTTGGCTCTGAGTTTGGCAGAAATAATGAGCTGTGACTTTGGGGGAAATTATGCATCGAGCAGCAGAAGCTCCAACAGGAGCATTCTGTTTAAGGTGCCTGCACCTCATTTAAATAAAATTCCAAACAACATCTTTAACCAGAACCATTGCACACAAAGAGGAATATAGAATAATTGTCCAATTAGAGAAAAAATGTCAGGAGGACAGTGAGAGAATCGAGCCAAGAGGGCTGAAGAGGAAAAGTAGAAATAGGTGAAAAGAAGTTCTACCAATTAAATGGTCAAAGATATGAAACTTGTTGCTGCACAAAGTCATGATGAATGGTAACTTTCATCTTCTCCTGAGTGTTCTGAGGAGCAACATTAAGTCACACGAACTGTAAGCTTCAACACGACTAGCACCAGAAATCATAAACAAAAGATTAGCTCCAAACAGTGAATGAAACATAAATATAAACCAACTGATATGAAGACATAAAAACTGAATGAAAGACATCACAGATTTTGACTGTAGTATTTATGCTAAAAGAACAAAAGAAAAGGTTCACAACGATCAAACATCAACATAAAGCTGGACTCAACATAAATACATGGACTCATAAGGAAAACACAAAAAGGTATACATAGGAAGGCATATTAAGACAAATTGGAAGAATCAGAAATATTAAGACAAAAAATACAAAAAACAAAAAGGCTACATGGATGCATAAATAGTGGGGAAAATGCATTTGAAGACAAAGGACACATATTGAGAAACAAAAAGACAAATATGACATGAGAACACAAACAGACAAAAAGGGACACAAAAAATGACAAAAAGGACACAAAAACAACATTTATCCCATCATTATCCAACTGCCCTAACATAAATGTCATTGAATGTAATAAATAATTAAATATCTGTACATGTTTCCTCATTACCAATTCACTGCAGCTGGGGGATAAATCAAAGCATCATCATACACACCTGAGCCCCAAACCTTAGAGAGATTTTAGTATTAAAACTTTAACATTGTACTAAATGTGTACAGAACAAAAGGGGTGCGTGTGTACTAATGCATCTGGACCTTCAACATTAGCATGCAAACACAAACACAACCACACACCCGCAAGCAGGTAGAAAGAGAGCAAGTCGTGAAAATATTGCAAATTTGAAACGTGTGTTTAAATCTCACTGTGAACATGGCATCAATTGCAGTCAGATTAACGCTGGTCTCGGAAACCAGCAGCCAAACACCAGGACCCATAGAATGACCGGCTCTGAACTAGCTTGGCTGTCAGAAGGGAAATACGTACACTTGCTTTACAAGAATGAACTTGAATGGCCCATTTATTGACATCAGCAATACACTGCAAGGAGGCCATCTTGTTTGAGTTTTTGTGGCTTTCCATTTCAAGAAGTTCTTAAGATGTTCTTTGAGAAGCCTTAAAGAATACACCGCAGTGTGAAAAGCTACACGCTTTGTAAATAAATCATTCAAGAAGACCACACAGTGTCCTGAGTTTAAAGAATGGACTAAATCAATGGCAGACACAGCCTCCTATAAGGTCATGCTCAGCAACCTGGATGGGAGCAGACAAACTGATTGGGTCATCTTCTGGGACATATTGAAAAGGATTCAGGTTACTGTGTGATTTGAAATGGAGTTTTATGGCTTTGGATTTCCTGAATTTGCAGAGTGACGATTTGTTGTATGAATTGTCGTGGGGATGATGGGGTGTGGGTAGGTGCACCATCTTTTAATTTTATTTATTTTTTGATGTTTGATCGTATGTTCTGAAAATCAAAACAATTACATAAAAAATTACAAAAATAAACAAATCATTGGAGTTATGAAAACTTTTTTTATAATTTATGTATTTATATGTATGTATC